CAGTACTGGACAAAATCATAGACACGATTTGTTTTTAAGCTGTTTTGCTCAACTAGAATAGCTAAAACAAATCCGAAAAGTTATTTCAATAGCTGAAAAATATCGACCCATACGTCAGCTAAAGCATCTAAATCTTTTGACTGGAGCACTTTTGATTGAAGATAAACCGTTTCAAAAAGAATGGCGGTGAATATTTCTCGAACCGCGTTCAAAAGACAGATGATAAAGATATTCGGTTTTTATCATTCAATAGGCCCTATGACTGGAGCACGTGGTACTAAAGAAAAACACTTTTCAAAATCCTTCGCGAATGTTGGATTTCGATAAGATCTTTGAAAAACCAGGTTGGTATTTCAAAAGTTACCACACAAATATTTTCATTTTCTTCCATAGATAGATAGTCTAAAGTGCCCTTTTCACAATGGAAACCAAGCAACTTCTTTAAGTTTTTGTGATTTAAGCGTGGCATCGGATTTACTGAGAGATATTCCTTTACATGTAATAATCTCGGAAATGATCAGAAACATAAGTTATCAACCACACTGAACCTCATGGCAATGTATGTATTTCGAGGAGAATTCAAAATCCTAGTAATTCTCTATATTAGGTGGAAGAATCCAGTTTTGGCTAGCGGTCGTTTTCACTGTCATTTTTGCTCTTTTTGTAACGATTTTTCGTAAATTGAGTGCAGTTCGATGAAAAAACCTCCTGGAGAGCTCTGTGGCATCTAGTTTTACTCAGAAATGTTTTCTCTATACGACTAAACTATTCACAAAAAGTTTCCATTTGAATCCTCGGACTTGCCACTTTGGAATTTTCAAAAATCTTGATTTTTCAAAGACCTGGTTTGCATGAATTTTCATATGAACCTCACCTGACTGAAGATATTTTTCAGCTATTGAAATAACTTTTCGGATTTGTTTTAGCTATTCTAGTTGAGCAAAACAGCTTAAAAACAAATCGTGTCTATGATTTTGTCCAGTACTGTATTCACAGAAAATCAATCCAAATTACTTTCGAACATCAAGATAAACTCTAATTTATATGCACATTATTTTAGAATTGAAGAAAAGAAATTAAAAATCAATTGAAAATACTTTAATTTTCAAAAGATTTTGTAGAAATCTTTCTAAGAAAATTCGTGAGAAAATGATTTTTACTAGTTTTAAGTATAAAATCGAAATTGCCCTTCAAATATCAATCAAAATGAATGTGTATTTCTACGGTTCTTATATGTTATACTACTATTTTGTGTTAAGTCTTCAATAAGTGTAAAATTTCACTTTAAACATATATTTTCTATAAGTTGTATCAAATAAATGAATGTATTATGTAAAATATGATAACGAAGTGTATACTAAACAGCCTACTGAACAGACACGCATACACCTTTATATACATTTATGCGAAAAGCAATGAAAAAGAAGACGAATGAACATAAATGAGACAACTGAAAATAACAAGAAATAGAAAACAAAGTATAAACGACTAAGCATGAGTGAGTTGTATTTCAATAGAAAAAGTGAGATATAAATGGATAAACATTGCTTTTAAATACTTTTTTTATGTAATCATACTTACATAAATCTCAATTAGAAGTGAAATAGAAAGTTTTGTATTAATATACGTATAGTTGAGATTTTAAATATAGTTTAAAAATATTTTTCTTTCTATAAGAAATTGAATAATATGTTGATATTATCCTCTCTTTTTTATATTGATAAGTCATTTTTTGACTGATCCTACATACATTTACACAACATAAATTAAAACATTAGGTGATAATTGATAGCTGTGCATCTTCACTACAATTTACTGATAAAGAAAAAAAGATATTTTTCAATTTAAAAAAAAACATATAGAAAACGTTGGTTTTATAATCACTATCAGTGATAACTATCAACTTATACAACGCAATAATTGTAAAAGTTAAAGACGTAATTTATTTTTTATGATAAATTGAATAATTAACTATTAAACTTTAGAACAAAGAAAACATTTTGAAAATTTTATTTAGAGAAAGTTGAGTTATAGACATTTTAAATCGTGAGATAGATACATCGATACAACAGTAACACAATTTCATTGATCTAATAAAATAATTATAGTTTACTGCTAGTGCTCCTATTAAGAAATAAATTTATGTCTAAAACTATACTTCTTTATTATTAGTGTAGGCTAATGTTCATTTGTATTACTAAATATAATGGATAAAACAGCAGTCATAAACAAAAAGCAATTACTTCTTAACAAAATACAAATAAACATTGATTAATTAAGATCAATGTGTACATTACAACTATGAGATAAAAACAAAATTTCACAGAAAAACAACAACAAATAAAGACATTTAAAGATAATAATCTGATGATTTTTGAAAGAGAAGTTGTTGTTTTTCCATCATTACACTGACATCAATAAATCGATATGCAAAGTTTCTTTTTTTTTTTCTCATATTGAACTTTTCTATTTTTGTAGTTTCTTTTCATTGAAATAAACACAAAAGAAATACAATATTGATGATGACAAGAACAAAACTAGCAAACTTTGACATTGATTATCAAAGATCTTCAGATAAAAAAGGATAATACTTGCGAGGAGAAAGATATTTTTGTATCAAGAGTTGTACTTTTTGTTAAACAACGAGTCACTCTGTTCGGACAAAGTAGTTCTTAATTTAATAAAGGTTTTTCTATCGAAGGAGTAAATTTATCATCTAAAGAACTGTAATATACATGAAATATTTTCACAAAATCCATCTTAATAGAAATTACTCTAAGGTCATGTTCTGCTTTCACTAATCACTATCTTTACGGTACTTTGTCCAAACATAGTTAACATATGATGCATTATAGTAAGGTGACATATATCTATAATTTGTCTATACATTTAAGAAGGAAAAAAACAAAACGATGCGGAAACGTAAGTCAATGATATATTTGAGTACTTAATCGTTTTAATACCAATGTGTTGGATGAATAGTTGAATGTACAGGTGCCTGAATGTGAAAAAAAATAAAAATGAAAGATTTTATCAAGAATGTCAAAATAATTTTTTTGAATACATACTTTACGCATTATATCTGTCACTTCTTTATCTTCTGGCAATGACGGTGATGGTGGAGCATTATGATGTGTCGATTTGGCTATTTTTCCAAGCTTAACAAGAATGTGAATCGTTTTTCGAGCTGAAATCGGTTCGTTTACTGAAATAGAATAAATTATTGTCATATTTATAATATATTAAAACTGCTAAAATACACACTATCGAGAAAAATATAGATTAGATTCTTTCGTAGTAGTTTTATCAATCACTTTTAATTTATTTATATTATTATATTACATTTTAGCCGGTGACAATCTAAACCTCAAAGTCCTGTGAATAGAACTTTAATGAAAAAATTTTAATAATTTTTTTAATATTGTTAATTAATAAAGGATTATCCACTTCTATTTTTTCCGATTTTGCGCTCATTCGTTAGTATATCAGTGACCAAAAGTACATCTTACTCACAACTTTTGTGTAACTCCTCTGACTGATTCAAAAGATGAGGATAGCTGTATACTTGAAACCTGTGAAAATGGCAAATTCTTCGCAGGCGGGGGGGGGGGGGGGGGGGGGGGGGGGGGGGGGGGGGGGGGGGGGGGGGCGGGGGGGGGGGGGGGGGGGGGGGGGGGGGGGGGGGGGGGG